TCTAGGCTTTTATCAATATGAGCATGTGTATGTGTTTGCACATACATCTTCACAAAGCAGATTTCATTATAATCAGTTTTCTGCAACATAAAATATGCTGTTATTTCTTCAATTTTATTTATTTATTTTTTAAAGATTTTTAAATCATGTTTATCACAGTTATCTCGATTTTCCCCCTTCACGCCCCTCCACCCATCCCCTCACCTCCCACTCCCACAGTCAATTCCCACTCTGTTGTCCATGTCCATGGGTCATTCATACATGTTCTTTCTCTAGTCCCTTCCCCTTCTTTCCACCATTGTCCTCTTTCCCCATCCCCTCTGATCACTTTCAGTCTGCTCCGTGTTCCCATGACTATGGTTTATTTTGTTAGTTTATTTTGATGAACAGAATCAACTTATAGGTGAGATCATATGGTATTTGTCTTTCACCAACTGGCTTAATTCACTTAGCTTAATATTCTCTGGTTCCATCTATGTTGTCACAAAAGGTAGGAGTTCCATCTTTCTTTCTTTCTTTCTTTCTTTCTTTCTTTCTTTCTTTCTTTCTTTCTTTCTTTCTTTTCTTTCTTTCTTTCTTTCTTTCTTAAATGCAGATTGATTTTATTTTTTAAATGTAAAAAGGAATTATAAAATATTAAAAAATTTAAAACTATTATAAAATCTCAACAATTAAAACATGACATCAGCACAGAATTAATCAAGTAGATCAATGAAATATAATGAGCAGTCTAGAAACATACATATATATCTGTCTAACAATGTAATATATGATAAATTGATATTTCAAATCCATAGGAAAAATAAGACTTATTCAACATATAAGGTACATGGACCAGTATTACTTGAAATAAAACAAATACAGAGCCCTATTTCACACATTATACAAGAAATATTCAGGTGAGTAAAAATCAATATGTAGCGTCTAAGGAGTTTTAGGAGAAAATACAAACAAACATTTTTTATACTGAAGTAAAATAATCAAACCAAAAAGTTATAAAGTAAAATATTGACAATATGACTATAATAAAGATTTAAGAATATATAGTAATATACATATAAAAATTGAAGGACAGTAATAGAATGGGAAAGTATTTGCCGCACATCTAAAAAATGGTTAAATAAGTTGGTTTTTTTAGGGAAAAAATTCTACAAACATTTAATCAAAAATGGATAAAGAATACCAAAAAGTCACTTAAGGTTTTTTTAAATAATAGAAATATTACAAAAGAAATATACAAAAACATATTTAGTTTCAACAAATAATAAATGAACACTGGAAATACATCATTGTCACAATCAGATTAATGAGTATTAAAAATATTGGTAATATCAAGTATTGGCAACTCTGAAAGGAACTGGGTATTCATAGATTCTTTTTCTGCATCTTAAAGCAGTCCTTTTAGCATATTTTGCAGTGCTGGTTTGGTGGAGGTGTATTCTTTTAGCCTTCTTTTGGGAAACTCCTTATTTCACCTTCCATTTTCATTGAGAGCTTTGCTGGGTAGAGCACTCTTGGTTGGAGGCTTTTGCCTTTCATGGCTTGGAATATTTCTTGCCATTCCCTTCTGGCTTGCAATATTTCTGTTGAGAAGTCTGATGCTAGCAATATTGAGGCTCCCTTATATGTTACTACCTTTTTCTCCCTTGCTTACTTTAGGATTCTCTGTTTGTCTTTGCTATTTGCCATTTTAATGATGATGTGTCTTGGAGTGGGCCTCATTGGGTTCCTCTTGAATGGCACCCTCTGTGCTTCCTGGACTTGCGAGACTTTTTCTCTCCTCCAATTAGGGAAGTTTTCCATCATTACTTTTTCAAACACGTTCTCTATCCCTTTCTCATCCTCTTCTCCTTCTGGTATCCATATTATATGGTTATTATTATGTTTCAGTTTTTCCTGCATTTCCCTAAATGTCTCTTCATGCTTTTTTAGTCTTTTTTATTTCCTTACTCTTTCTGGGAGCTTTTTTCTACCTTGTCCTCCTGCTCACTGATTCGATCCTCGGCTCCATCAAGCCTGCTTTTGATTCCTTCTACTGTGTTCTTCAATTCAGAAATTCTGTTCTTCATTTCTTCTTGTCTCTTATTGGTAGTTTCTATGTCCTTTTCAATGCTGATGTAGTATTTGCAGTGTGTTCCTTGTAGTTGCCCTGCACTTTTTGGTAATTCTCTCTGAGCACACTGAGCTCATTGAGCTTCCTTATAACAGTTGTTTGGATCTCAATATCTGATAGTTGACTTGCCTCTATTGCATTTTGTTCTCTTTTTGGGGATTCCTCCTTTCCCTTTGACTGGGGGCTAATTCTTTGTCTTTCCATTATTTGTGAGACTCTTCTTTTTGGCTTCCACTTCTTAAATGGATCTGTGTTGATCTCCTGACTTTGTGGTGTGCACTTCTATGGTTGGAGACCACTGTTTTTTCCTTTCTGGATCTGTCTCTGATGATGTCAGATATTGACCCTATCTGCCCTTAGGCAGTCTGCTGAGACTTCCAAAAATCTGTTTGTGTCTGTCTCCTTCAGCTGTTAATATAGTCACTCTGCCCTAGGGAGGCGGCTTAGACAGCACAGGACAGGGTGGAATCCCACCTGGGGTTGGGGCTATTGGGTGCTCTGATGCTGCTGCTGCTTCGGGGGAGTGGTCTCTGCCTAAGATGGATGCTGCCACACGGAGGATGAGTCAGAACAAAAATCCAGCCAGCTCCTCTCTCAGTTCTCTCCCCAAAACCTCCTTCCAAAGCATGTCTTCAGGCATCTCTAGCTCACTCTGTCCCAGCCATTGCCAGAGACCAGCGTAAGTAGCTGCAAATAAAAATTTATGTGTTGGCCCTTTATACACCTCTTCGCTTCTCCAGTTGCCTGTCTCTGGCAGAGAACAACCCTGCCATTTTTCGCAGCTGGGTGTTTTCTGTGTACTTTCTGGGCTCTGATGCTGTAGGCTGGAGATCCCTGCTTTTGGTTTAGACCCCAGTCTTCTCAGGGGGATCCAACTGGCCCTTTCAGTATCCTTCTGGTGCTGCTGCCCGTGCATGCCTCACCCGCCTTCTTGAATCTCTACTGCACTCCTTACCAGTTATATTATACTAAAGCCGATTCTTCTGTCTCCGAGGTTGTAAGGCTCCTCTCTTGCTATTGTGTAGTTTTTGTTCCAGGTGATTTCTACCCAATTTAGTTGTAATTCCAGGTTGGTCCTGGGAGGATGTCAGTGTGACTTCCATTCACTCCTCTGCCATATTGATTCTCTCCCATTATAAAAACATACTCTCTTGACTCTTCTTCCTGCAAAATTTTCTATGTCTTCCATTCCTTGTTTCAACTATTTTTCTGTTCATTTGTTGTATTTTGCCATTTGTTTCAAAAATGTCTTGGAAGATTTCAATGTAGGGAAAATTCCAAAGAAATGATGGCAACTGAAAAATATGTTCTCTGTAATGATGCTATCCTGGTGATAAGTTACATATGAGAGTATTGCAAAGAAAAGGAAAAATCTGCAGTGTTGATTGTGCTCATGATTTGGATTTTGAGGGGCTTTTCCCCCTTTAGTCTTATACTCTTCAGTATTTTCCACACTTATTTTTAATTTATATTTTTTAAAAAGATTTTATTTATTCATTTTTAGAGAGAGGGGAAGGGAGGGAGAGTGAGGGAGAGAAAAGTGTGTGGTTGCATCTCACGCACCCCCTACTAGGACCTGGCCCAGAACCCAGGCATGTGCCCTGACTAGGAATCGAACCAGTGACCTTTTGCTTCTCAGGCCAGCACTCAATCCACTGAATCACAATATCCAGGGCTCCACATTTCTCTAGTAAGTATATTAGAGTCATGAAAAATTCAGTATCATTTTTAAAGATTATGATAAAGTATAGACAGCATAAAATTTACCATTGTAACTATTTTAAAGTGTACAATGCAGTCTCACTAAGTATGTTCACAATGTTGTATAACCATCAAACCTCATACTCTTAAGAACTCCATCTCATTTTCCCTCCACCCAGCCTCTGGCAGCCACAAATCTGCTTTCTGCCACTGTGGTTTACCTATTCTGATTATTTCATATAAATGGCTTTGTTCACTTAGCAAAGTTATTTTCAGGGTTCATCCACACTTTAGTGGGCTTTTTTTTTTCATTGTGGAAAAAGTCATGTAACATAAACTTACCTTGTTAACCATTTTTAAGTGAACAATTCAGCGGCATTTAGTACAATCAAATTTTGTACAACTATCTTCACTGTCTAGTTCAGGAACACTTTCAAAATCCTAAAAGCAGACCTTACATCCATTGAGCAGTCATGTCCTCTCTCCCCTTTGCTCCTGCCCCTGGAAAACACTAAACTACTTTCTATATCTATGGATTTTCATATTCTGAATGTTTCATGTAAATGGAATGATACATTTGGACCATGAAATGGTCTTTTGTGACTTATTTCCTCCAGTTAGCATAATGCTTTAAGGTTCATACATGTTGTATTAGGCATCCCCTGCAAAGCTCTTTGTGCCAGGACCCATGTCTGCTTCTGCAGGCTTCTAGGTAGAGCATCTGACTGAGTCACACTTTTCAAAGGCCATCCCTGGAAACAGCATGTGTCCCTTGTTATCAGAATTTATTGGCAAACCACCTATAGAGTCAAGCCTGACATAACTGCTAGGGAATGCCAAGGTGAATGGCAGAGCTGGGGGTGGAGAAGGAAGGACCTTCGAGTCCTGGACCCATTGGCTCATGGTAGGGCGGGGGAAGAGTAATCCAACACATGCAACATACAATGTGTAACATCACTTTTTATTATGGGAAACAAAACAGCAATCGTGAATGGGAAATAGTCAGAACAAATGACCCTTCAGGTGCTTATGTTACTCTAGAAGGTAATTTCAGCTTCCTAGTCAGCCAGGCCTCCAGCCCCAATCATGGGTATGGCCTTAGGCTGGAGAAAAGAGAAAACAGAGTGGAGAAAAGAGAAAACAGAGCGATGGGGATGAAGACAAAGATGACGTCCAAGGGCTCTTTTTAAGGGATTTGTTTGAAGGCCTCCTCCGGGATCGTGCCCTTCATCTGCAGGGGAGGAATCGGGATGTCAGAAGAACCAGTTCCCTGAGTTTCATTCGAGGGCACCAGGCTCCACTTTCTTGGCCTTCCCAAAGGCCCGGAAACATCCATCTTTAACCCACTTGGTACCCAGACCTCACCTTGAGCATAGTGAAGACCTGAGCAGCTCTGGTGTAGTTCCACTCGTTTTCCTGAAGGCACCTGGAGCGGGAGAAGAACAGGTGATCTCCCGTAGTACCACAGTGCAGACACGCTGAGCATGCAATGCCACCACTAAGTCTATGTGGCTAAATCGATGCTGGGGCAGATGTACAGAAAGAGCACTATGTGTAATGAGGAAGAAAGACCAGGTGAAAACCAAAACCTCTGTCACTAGCATTCAAAACAGAAAAATAGAGCTCTTCAGAGGACCACGGGAGCTTAATAATGTTGACAAAGAAAGATATTCAAGAAAACAACAAATGGAAACCTAAAAATGCAAGTTTCCAATTATACGTTATTGATCTATAGTGCACTTACCATAGCACTTGCCATTTTAAAGTGTACAATTCAGTGCTTTTTAGTATATTACAAGAATGTGCAACCATTGCAAGTATCTAATTCCAAAATATTTTCCTCACCTCAGGAAGAAACTTCTTAAGTATAAGAGATCACTCCCTCTTCCTTCCCTTTCCCTAGACCCTGGCAATTACAAATTTGTGTTCAGTACCTGTGGATTTGCCTATGCTGGACATTTCGTGTAGATGAAGTCATACAATATGTGAGCTTTTGACTCTGGCTTCTTTTACTTAGTGTAATGGTTTCAAGGTTCATCTATGTCATGACGTGGGTAAGAACTGTGTTCTATTTATGAATTTAAAATATTCTGCTATGTGAATGTACCATATTTTTTTTTTATCCACTCATCAGCTAAAAGGCATTTGGGTTGTTTCCGAGTAGAATAATACTGCTATGAGAATTCCGGTATAAGCTTTTGCTTGAACGTATGTTTTCGTATCCCTTGTTATATACTTAGGAGTGGGATTACTGACTCATATAGTAACTCCATGTTTAACATTTTGTGAAACTTCCAAAAAGATTTCCACAGCGAATGCTCCATTTTGCATTTGTACCAGTAATATATGAAAGTTCTAATATCCTCACATCCTCATCTACACTTACTTTCTATTTCACTCAAGAACCATCTTAGTGTGTATGACGTGGTGTCTCGTTGTTTTGATTTGCATTTCCCCAGTGAGTAATGATGTTGAGTATAGTTTCATGTGCTTCTTGGTCTTCTGCATATCAGCTTTTGAGACATGTCTATTCAAATCATTTTCTCATTTTCAAACTGGGTTGTTTGTCTGTATTGTTGAGTTGAAAGTGTCCTTCAGACATTTTGGAAAGTACACCTTATCAGATATGAGATTTGCAAAGATTTTCTCGCATTCTGTGGTTGCATTTTCTCTTTCTTGATCAGGTCTTTAAACACGCAAAATATTTTTTTATTTTGATGAAGTGAAAGTTGTTTGTTTCCTTAGTTGCTTGTACTTTAGGGGTCATTTATAAAAAACTTTTGCCTAATTCAAGGTCATGAAGATATACACCTGTTTGCTCCTAAGAGTTTTTATAGCTGTAGATATTACATTTAAGTCTTTTGTCTGTTGTTAGTAATATTTATATATGGTGTTTGGTAAGGTTCAAAATTCATTTTTTTCACATGTAGATGTTCAGGTGTTCCAGTGCAAATTGTTGAAAACACTAATTTATCTAAATTTTAATAATTGGCACCTAGTTGAAATTCAACTGACTATAAATGCCATCGTTTATTTCTGGGCTCCCAATTCTATTGCATGTATCTATACGTCTACTCAAATGTTAGTACCATACAATCTTTTTTCTTTTTTATTGAATTTATAGGATGACATTGGTTAATTAAATTATATAGACTTAAATTAATAAAATTAAATTAAATTTATAATGCAGTCTTGATTACAATAACTTTGCAGTAAGCTTTGAAATTCTAAGGATTGAGAATTATGAGCCCTTCGAATTTATTCTTCTTGTTTGCTATTATTTTTAGTATTCTAAGTCCACTGCATTTCCATGTGAATGGATGACATTATCAATTTCTTGAAAGGAGCCAGGTAGGATTTTGATTGGAATGGTGTTGAATCTATGGACCACCTTGAATACTATTACCATCTTAACAATATTAAGTCTTGCAAATCATAAACACAGCCTATCCTTCCATTTTTAGGTCTTGTTTAATTCATTTCAAAAATATTTTGTCCTGGCTGTTGTGGCTCAGTGGATTGAGTGCTGGCCTGCAAAACAGAGGGTCATCAATTTATTTCCCAGTCAAGGCACATGCTTGGGTTGTGGACCAGGTCTGCAGAAAGGGGCGCATGAAAGGCAACCACACACTGATGTTTCTCTCCCTCTCTTTCTCCCTCCCTTCCCCTCTTTCTAAAAATAAATAAGTAAAATAAAATATTAAAAAAAAAATTAGCCCTAGCTGCCATGGCTCAGTGGATTGAATGCCATCCTGCGAACCAAAGGATTGCCGGTTCGATTCCCTGTCAGGCCACATGCCTGGGTTGCTGGCCATGCCCCCAGCAGGGGGTGCATGAGAGGCAGCCACACATCGATGTTTCCCTCTCTTCCTCCTTCCCTTCCCCTCTCTCTAAAAAGAAATAATAGATAAAATATTTTTTAAAATTTAAAAAATACATTTTGAAGACTTTAAAGTTTTTCACATTAGTCTTCCTAAGTATTTATTACTTGAATCTATTATAAATGAAGCCATTTCCTTAATTTCATTTTAGGATTGTTCATTATAGTGCAGAAAAATACAAATGCTTCTTGTATATTGATCTTTTTATAATCTTTATGGTATTTTTTCCATTACCATTTAGTACCCGTAATCCCCGCCCCCAGAAATCACCACACTGTTGGCCATGTCCATGAGTCCTTTTTCCTTTTTGATCAATCCCTCCACCATCTAACCTCCCGCCCCCACTACCTGTCATCCTGCTCTCCATCTATGAGTCTGTCCCAATTTTCCTTGTTATCTCAGTTTCTTCATTAAGTTACACATATGAGTGAAATCATATGGTATCTGCCTTTCTCTGACTGGCTTACCTCTATTAGCATAATGTTCTCCAGGTCCATCCATACTGTTGCAAAGGGTAAAATATTCTTTTTTTATAGCCAAGTAGTATTCCATTGTGTAAATGTCCAATAGTTGTTTTATCCACTCATCTACTGATGGACACTTGGGCTGCTTCCATATCTTGGCAATTGTAAATAAGGCTGCAATGAACATAGGAATTCTTATATTCTTTTGAATTAGTGTTCTGGGTTCCTTTAAATATATTCCCAGAAGTGGGATAGCTGGGTCAAAAGGCAGATCCATTTTTAATTTTTTTGAGGTATCTCCATATTGCTTTCCACAGTGGCTGCACCAGTCTGCATTCCCACCAACAATGCAAATGTGTTCCCCTTTCTCCACATCCTCGCTAGCACTTGTTGTTTGTTCATTTATTGATGATGGCCATTCTGACAGGTGTGAGATGGTATCTCTTCATGGTTTTAATTTGCATTTCTCTGATAAATACTGCCATTAAGCATCTTTTCATAGGTCTATTGGCCATCTGTATGTCTTCCATGGAAAGTCCTCCACCCATTTTTTAATTGGAGATTTTTATTTTTGGTATTGAATTTTGTAAGCACTTTATAAATTTTGGATAGTAACCCCCTTATCAGATGTATCTGTGAATATGTTCTCCCATTCCGTGGGTTGTCTTTTTAATTTTGTTGATGATTGCCTTTGCTGTGTGAAAACTTTTTAGTTTTGTGTAGTCCCATTTACTTATTTTTTCTTTTGTTTCCCTTGCCTGGGGATACATATCAAAAAAATATTGCTACAAGCAATGTCCGAGATTTTACTGCCTATGTTTTCCTCTGGATTTTTATGGTTTTGGGTCTAACATTTATATCTTTGATCCATTTTGAATTTATTATTGTGTGTAGTGAAAGAAGGTCGTCTAGTTTCATTATTCTGCACATATGTGTCTAATTTTCCCAATGCCATTTGTTGAATAAACCCTCTTTAGCCCATTTTATGTGCTTGCTTCCTCTGTCAAATGTTGACTATAAAGGTGTGGGTTTATTTCTGGACTCTCGATTTTGTTCCGTTGATCTATGTGTCTTTTTTTTTTTTTTTTGCAAGTAGCAGTCTGTTTTGGTTACTATGGCCTTGTAGTACAGTTTGATATCAGGTCCTATGATTCCTCCAACTTTGTTCTTCTTTCTCAAGATCACTGTTGCTATGCAGGACCTTTTGTGGTTCCATATACATTTTTGAAATATTGTTCTAGTTCTGTGAAATACGTCATTGGAATCTTGATAGGAATTGCATTGAATCTATAGATTGTTTGTGTAGCATGGAAATTTTAATGATGTTAATTCTTCCTCTCCATGTGCATGGTAGGTGCTTCTACTTACTTGCATCTTCTTGTTTCTTTCTTCACTGTCTTATAATTTTCCAACAACAGGTCTTTTACATCCTTGGTTAGGTTTACCCTAGGTATTTTATTCTTTTTGAAGCCATTGTAAATGGGGTTGTTTACTTAATTTCCCCTTCTGTTAGTTCATTATTAGCATATAAACATGCAACTGATTTGGAAATATTAATTTTGTATCCTGAAACTGTGCTAAAGTTGTTTATCTTTTCTAATATTTTCTAAATGGATTCCTTAGATTTTCCATGTAAAAGATGATGTCATCTGAGTATTACACTACTTGAAATAAAAACTTTACATGTATCATCTTAAACTTAGGTTACCTTTCTCATGGGCCTACTATTTTTGGAAGCAAAAATATCCAAATGCTTATTTTTTCACATTGTCTATGACTTCCCATTATTCAGCCAAACAATCCCTGAGCTAAATCCTACCCTGGAGCAAACCCAATGTTCTTATGTTTTTCTCAGGTTCTTTCTTGCTTCAATGCTGACAGTCATTTCTTCTTATCTGCATGACAAGGTAATCAATTTAATTTTTTCTATAGCTCCAGTTATTGAAAATCATTTTCCAAATTCATCCAGATTTGCCTTTGTCTGCCTTCTATTCATTTGAGGATACGCCAATGAAGCTATAGGCTATTAATTTGCTTGTCTGAATACTGACTTCAATAACTTGCCTTAGAGCATATATGATCTTATGTCTGGATGAGCATACTACTCTTTCAAACCAAGCCTGTAATCAAAGTCCCAACACTGTTTCCACATGCAATATCTTAAACTATGTCTCCTCGAATATGTTTTTGTAGTGTCTTCCATAGCCAAATGCAGAATTTGATACTTAATTAAATTTTATCTTACTAGATTCGGCACTTAACTCCAGAAGTGGAGTTCGTTTTGGATTATATATCTTGACTTACACTCTTACCTCCAAGTGTTCAGATGCAGAAGTTGGGAGCAAAGCAAATGTGCCAAAGTTGTGCACAGGTCCTTCTCCCCAGCTTCAACCGGAAAACAACACTTTCTGGTTAACAGAAAGTGTATTTTTACGGTGGCATAACACGACGTTTATTTTTGTCCTAGAGGTTTTTTTTTTTTTTTGTCTTAAAATTTCTAAAAAGTGCTTTCTAGAGCATGAGCTGGTGACCCTCTCAATAATGTAGTTGGCACCACAACCTTATCCCTCCCCCAACTTGCCACACCACCCAATTTAAATGATTTTAATGTCTAAAATTTGTATGATTGATTTATCCAGTGCTGATTAAAATTGTGTGGCTAATTCTAATGAATTCTTAATCTATTTAAGTTACTTTGAAAAGATCACAGTAATTTGGTATCTTAGTGAATATTCTTATGATGTATAGTTTTGAATTCCCATCCCCCAGATTTAAACACAAAATGGACTTCTGCAAAAGAACTTATCAATTCTAACAATGCTCACAATTTATATTGGCTCACATTCTTTTTGTGAAAAAAGAAATGTTGCTTTCTTGGAAAGTTCAGGAAAGAGAATTTGCCATTTTTTGTGGCTAACCGACAGTCTACTTGCTTGATTGGGGTTCTTCTTCCCCCTTTTCTCCAGTATATCAGATGTGTTAGAAACAGGGAAAGTGATAATATAGCGCCAAATAATCTTATACCAACAGGCTTGTGGAATAAAAGTTAATTCAGGTACCACTTAAATCCCTTCTGGATTATTCATTCATCCAGGTATAAACCCAACCAATCATAATATACTTCAGCTCATATTCACCATTTTATTCAAATCTCAAGAAAAACCAACTATTAAATGACTTGCCTAAGTGCAGATACATCACTATCTAAATTTATTTACTTTTTGGCAGGATTAACACATCAAGGGAACACTCTAGCCTATTTATTCCTGTCCCTAATGACTCCATGTTGAATTCTCATAGTATTCCAACAAAGTCATACAGAAACTTGATGGTACTACTGAAACTGGAATCTGGAGATTTGGATTCCCAGGCTATCACTCCTTCTATACTACGGTGATGTTCAAATTCTTACAGGAAGTGCCTATCATAAAAAAAGGGAGCACTAGAATAAAAAATAATAATAATCTAGAGGAAACAGTTTAAAGGTAATGCACCCTCATAGCCCACTCTCACTTATAAATCCTTCCTTCTTCACCTTTAAGTATATAGCCAGTTATGTTTCTCTAACTTACAACTGAGCTCAAGTCTGGATATTGGCTTCTACTAAGCAAGATGTAGAAGAAATAAAATTATTACAGCTTTATAATGTGATCTCCCCAGAGGTGCAAACTGTTTATTTCCCCTCCTCCTCTCAAAGTAAAGTCACCTTTGGCTGGGAAGTGATCATTTACATAAAATTAAATGTAGAAAACACTTTAATATAATATAAACATTTCCAGAATAGAGACTGATTTTGTATCAGTACTTTGAAAATTATATATTGTCTAATATTATTATAGACTGTTTCATTTTCCACTTTCGGCACTATGAAATACAAAAATACACAGCAAATTAGATTTAACAAACAAAAAAATCAGTCTAATTCTCTTCATACATTTTTCTTGGAGAAAATCAAGAAACATAAACAAAGACACAATAACAACAAAGCACCACCAACACCCACACAAACCCAAACAGAGAATGGATTCTGTAATGCCTGGTAATTCTTTCACTTAAATTATCTCCCATGGGTAAATAATTCACCAGCAAAGCAATTTGATGAATAGAAACAGAGACAACTTCATTAAGCGAAATTACATTATATGTAAGAAACATGTGATTTCTCTCTTTTTTTTTAAGAAAATGAGGAAAAGTAACTTGACAAAAAGGCATATTGAATACTTGTACATCATTTGGCTCTTTTTAGAGGTTCAAGTCACTATCCACTTAGGAAATTCAAATAACACGAATTTCATGGAACCAAACACTTCAATTTATTTCTTTAATTCAACCTTAAGTTAACAAAACTAAAAAGTTCAAAATCCAAGAGTAGATTCGTCCCAAAGAATGACTCTTCTATGTTTTCTTCAACAAGTTTCCTTTTCTCTTATTTTCTTGTGTTCTTACCTTCTTATATTCTTTTTTAGAGACTAGATTTACATTTGTTTATTCTTTCTCTTTACTTTATTTCCGTTTAAAAAAGTAACAAGCTTTCCTGAACTGACACTGACTGTACCCACCTTTCTTTTTCTTCATTTAATGCTCTTTGGTCTAAGTCAATATTCAGTTTTAACTGACTTCTTCAATTCATCTTTGGGTAAACAATATTAAAAGTTTAAATTCCTAGAGCAGACTCATCCCAAAACCTCAGGTTGGGGGACAGATATAACAAATGTGATGAGGATGAAAATACGAACACCTAAGGGCTCCTTTCCTGGGCTTTCTTTACAAGATCCTAGGTCACTGTGTGAAGGCTTCCTCTGGGATCTTGCCGTTTATCTGGAGAAAGTCAAGAGAGAGCATTGAGAAGACAATAGAGCCAGCCACCCTGAGATTCATCCCCAGGCCTCCTGCCTTCTGTCCACTTAGCCTTGCTAAAAGCATGGAGACCTGTTTACTTTTATCTCTGAATTCTCAGGCTTCACTTCTTCATGAGTAAAGAATTTTAAGTTCTGGTATCATCTCGTCATTGTACTAAGAACACCTGTGATGGGGGAGGAAAGGTGATCTCCCTGAGGGCCAAAGTGGAGACAGTTTGACCACACAATATCACTGCTAAATATAGGCTACAGAAGGAAGCCTCTTGAGTTTACCAAGCTGTATGCCCCAGGATGGCCAGATGGCACTACAAGTAATGCTGAAAAAACAGCGAAAAGACAAATATCTATCAATAAAAGTAGCTTATGGCCTACTGGAATTCAGTTGTTTAATATACAGATCTTACCAGGAACAAGTTAGCTAGCTCAACAAATATCGAGAGGAAACTATGCTGGTGTTAATAATTAATAATTAATAAATAAAAGAAGTTTCAAAACAGTACGCACAGTAGGAAAAACAGGTAGTTATGATATATTTAAATGTATTAGCATAAAATGAAACTATTTTTCACGTGTAAACTTCTGTAGCAAAAAATAAACAGATCTAAAATAATTACCTGCAAATTCCCACTATTCAGTCCTCTGTTCCTCCCCGCTCCCTCCTATCCCCATGCACACACAGCACTCACTTCTGAGACCACTGCGGTTTCATGCCAGACTGCATGGAGAAAAGCAGCACCATTTTCTGCTGCTCCTGGGAGAGGGTGGGCTCAGAACTGCAGGAAGGTGTGGGCACTGTGATAGAGAATGCCCTCTGAGACTCACAGGTGGTGGCGACCCTCACAAACAGCTCATCATTCACGATGAACATACTGGAAGGGAAAATGTGTCCTCAGAAAACAGATGAATGAACAAACCCACACCTTCAACAATGATCCTGCTTCAATCACCACTCATTCTCCATAGCCTGACTAAACCTACCCAACAGATTCCTCATCCTCCATAGCCTGACTAAACCTTCCCACGAGATTTCACATTGGGTAGCGCTGCCCTCCCACTAAGCTCACTCTTGGAGAGACAGTCTACCAGGCTCACTATGTGTGTATGACTAACCCTGCTCCATTTACTCGGGAAAACAGACCAAGGGAGAAGACAGTCTAACCCCATTTTCCAGAGGAACACATAGCGCCACAGAGACGTCACGAGATTTCACTAAGGTATAAATCTAGTTAGTGTTGGGGTCACAAACAGAACCCAGTGTTCTAATTCCAGAGCCCCCACTCCTACCCCAATGCCAGAGAGATCCTTGGATCTACCTGTTGGCTTCCCACAACACTGAGAAAACAACAAATCTTCACTGCCACACACCCACACACCTGAGCCCACGCTGGGCTGCCTGTTCCCACCCAGAGCACAGCACTCACCTGGAATTGCTGGCAGGGGTAGCGATGAAGGTCCGGCTGAAGGCACGGACAGAACCCTGAGACCTTCCTTCCACTTCAACAACAACAACAAAAACAACAACACCCCTTTAGAGTCACAATGCTTCACACACCCCCACTGCGTTCCCCAGTCAGGGTCAGACTCCATACATGCCCAAGAGAACAGCTGTCCCCTGGGAGTCAGGGTGTCGGGAATGGGGAGGGCAACAGTAGGAGCAATCTTCTCCCACTGACATGGACCTTACTCCGTCCTAGGACAACCACTCGACAAGTTCATTGGACTCATTTTTTGCAGCTACCCAAGAGGTGGGCATTATTAGACCCATTTTGCAAAAGAGGAAAATGAGAGTTACGTGCAACCGGCCCAGGTTCTCAGAGTAAGGATCCGGGATGACAGCCACCAAACCCCACACCTGTGTCCCTAACACTCCAGCTGTGTGGGGCTGACAGGCATGGATGCGGGTCAGACCAAGGCGGGTTGGGGGCAGAGTGGAAGCAGGAGAACACAGAGGGAATAGGAGAAAAAGGGGAGGGATCGGGGGAAGTTGGGAGAGTTCTGAGAGAGACCCCAGCCTGCAGGAGGGACAAGTGGGGCATCTGGAGAGGGGACTCTACACACACTCACCTTCCTTGAACACCCCGTTGACACAGACGAAGATCATGCTTTCCTGAAAGAGAAGGATGCAGGTGCTCGGTCACCGTCTACACCTCCCACCCACCTGCATCTTTCTGGGCCAGCCCGAGGGAGGAAGGGGGCTCTCACCGACTGGAACCACGTGTCCAAGATGAAGGAGCTGAAGTCATGCTGAGTTTTGGGCAACACACTGAGGGAGCACACAATGTCACGTTTTGTATGTTTCAGCAGCTGAAAGCGCAGGTCTGTGGGGGAAGGACAGCAAAGGTCAGGGTTGCCACACCCAGGGCCCTGTGACTGACCCCTTCATGCCCCCTTTCCCTGCCCAGTCTTCCCCATCCCACACGCACTGGGGTCCTTGAGGTTCTTCATATTCCTGTTATATTTGAAGTACTCGAACAAGCTGCTTCTAGCAGAAAAGAAAACAGCACGTGGTAGTCTGAGACCACTGTGGGTGTTCCCATGAGCTGGCCTGTGTCTGCTGGGGAGCCACACAGCCCAGGGGAAGAGTCTGAGCTGCGATACTCACGGGTCTGGATCGTTCGGGTTGAAAGGAATGGTCAGGGAGAAGCAGGCCTCATCGTGATAAGCACCGAGGAGACTCTGTCTGTCTCCAGAGTCATAGATCAAGTAGTATCTGTGAGGGGACAGTGAAGACAGTCTATCTCCATGGTCTGGACCTCAAATGGGACTTGAAAACTCTCATGAGCAAACCCGTGCTTGGGTGGCCCGGTGTGTGCCAGGCCTCCCTCCTTCCGGGTGACCCAGGGGTACTTACTGCTGCAGGAACTGCAGCACTAGACTCTTCACAACATCAGATCCTTCATACCGTTCCTGGAATCAAAGGCATTTGAGGCAATGTGGCTGATAAAGCCTCCCTTGCAATAAATACCCCAAATGTTGATCTTTCTCCCTCACCTTGTAGGGCTTTATTAGGTCGGGCCTGTCAACGTCAGCGGTAATTGGTGGGGGTAAATCCCGGCCATCCTGGAGAAGGGGAGAGGAAGTTGGCAGTGTAGACCAGGGAACTTGTCCTGAATCATTAGGGGAATGGATGGGCTCATGGGATAGTGAAGGACAGAGGTCAGGAGTGAAAAGGACCTGGAAATTCAATGGCCAAGATTACAGGGGGCGTCTGCATCATGAGGTCCTGGAAGTCTCTGCAGTTACTGGAAACACGTGTGTGTGTGTGTGTGTGTGTGTGTGTGTGTGTGTGTGTGTGTGTGTGTGTGTGTGTGTGTGTGTCTGCCTACCTGCCTGCCTCTCTCTGTTCCTCCCCACCTCCTTCCCTCCCTGCCTCTCTCCCTGTCTCGCTCTCTCTGTGTGTACATTTCCACAGAGATCATATTCATGTCTTTTTCAGAAGTCCATGTCCCCCAAAATGGATAAGGGTCTGAAGCAAACGCGTAGTTTAAGCAAGACTCAAACAAAGTGCTTGAGGGCAGGTGTGGAGGTCGTCAGCGTGAGTAGAGGCGATGGTGAACGAAGGCACTTACCAAGCGTAACAACTTGGGGAAACATTTCCTGATGGCACTGTCCAAATTGAAAAACAGAAAGACATGGTTGATAGTTTGGGTTGCAGTGCTTCCATTTAGTTAAAACACTGATGGCATTGATGGCATGAACAGAGACAGGTGTTCTGCCCACCCAGCAGCCCCTCCCCTCCTCAGCCTCTGATTTCTAGGGCTCTGGGCCCACTTCCCTGCTGAGCACTGACCCTCTGCCATACGGAGTCTCAGAAACACACAGTCTCCTCATCTCGCTCCACACCTTCACATTCACATCGCTTCCCTTCCTCCCTCCCTCCGTCACCTTTTCCCTCCTGCCCTCCCTCTCCCTCAATCCCTCTCCATCCTGCTCGTTAGCTCCCATCCAGAGGGCCCTCACTCCCTTCTCCAGGGCCACAAGACACAGCACTTGGGTCTCAGACTCCAGGGCTTCTTCCCTTCCCCTGCCTCCCTTTCTTCCTCCTGGTCCCCAGTGAAGGCTCCAGAGAAGTGGGAAGGGGGGTGGAGCCTAGGGCTCTGCTACCTCACTGGGGGTCCAGCATCCTGCCAGGACCAGGGCCCACCCCATGCATGGCTCAGGATGCTGGAGCAGGGAGGGGAGTGAGGGAGGGATCCGGAGGCAGGGAGGGAAAGGGAGGGGGAAGAAGAAAGAAGGGGGCTGAAGATAGGAGAGGAGGCTGGGAAGACATAGGGGAGTGGAGACGAGCGAAAAGGGGAAAAAGAGCGAAGGGAAAGATGCTCTGCTCTGGTGGTGGGGGATGGCGTCAGATAAGGAGAAAGAAGGAAGGGAACACGGTTCCCCTACAGCAGCCCTTTCCTTCAACTGTCCCTGGATGGCCCTGGGTCTCCAGCGAGGGATGGAAATCATGCACTTGTTGGCCGAAGGGCCCCTGGATGCTGACTGAGCCTTTGTCAACTGCGGGGGCTCAGTCTGAACTCAGAGTCGGAGACGCAGCAGCCACGGGCCCAGGAGACCTTTCGCAGGAGGGGTAAAGGTCGGGCCCCAGCTCAGCATGGGGTTGGGGGTCTGTGGCCCCCTCTTATGATCACCGCCTTCTCTCCTCATGGCTCCTGTGCACCTGTGCCGGTCTTAGTTGGTTCCTTGCCTGAGGAATCCTTCCCATGGCTGACGTCCCAGGGCTCCTCTGAAGGACCAGGCAGGTGATGGGATGTGTGGAGGGGCAGTGCCCCTAATAGGACTGCCCCTCCCTCTCCTCAACCCCCTCTGCACTCTGCCTTCCACTGCTACCTCGGGAGGCCCTCTGCTCACTGGCGCTGGCTCACTTCTGGCCTCTTGACTCAGGGAACTCTGGATTCTCCCAAGGGTGCCCCATCCCCTGGCATTGCACTAAAAGAACGGATGTCGTGATGACAGCCACAGGGCGCGGGGAAGGTCCCCATGCCAACCTGGCATTCGAGGGGGAGACCGTTCTGACGCATGGGAAAGAAGGTTCCTCCCGCAATAGGATAGGGGTACTCTGTGTCACCTCAGAAGCAGGAAGGCCTGTCTCAGCCTGACTCTGGGGTGGAGGACGTTCCGCAGTATCTGCCTCCTCCTAGTCCTGGTGAGGAGGGGAGGCCCTGCACCCTGGAGCACGCTGTTGGGTGGCATGCTAGAGCAAACTAGAGGCAGAGTCACAAAGCGGGCCCCTAGAGGAAACTGGGTGCAGAGTCAGGAGCCAGACCCCAGACCAGGAGAGCAGCTAAGCAGGTCAGAGGAGGGAGAGGAGACCTCTACGCATAGGTGACGGGCACAGAAAAGAGAAGGTGGGGCTTGTGGTCCTCTCAGAGGAGGCACCGGGGATGCCACCTTCTGTGGCGGGGCTCCCAGGGATCAAAGGTCCCCAGGAAGGGTGACAGGGCTTCGCACTGACCTTACGTAGGTAGATTGGTCTGGGAAGGTGTCACACAAGGGGTTCCCTTCCAGCCACAGCTCTTCGAGCTTCAGGCCTTTGATCTTCCCCAACTCCCAGGTGGAGTTAAGCTGAAAAATGTGGGGAGGAAGTCCAAAAAGAGTCCCAGGGAAAGAGGGACATCCAAGCCCCTGAACCCACAGCCCCCTCCTTTACCCACAGGTGCCTGTGCCTGCCCGCCATCATCGCTCTGATAACCACTGCCCACCACCCTCAACCAAACTCTGATCTGTCCCTCTCTCACCTCATTTTTGGACAGGTTCAGGATCCTGACTGTGGGGACCATCTGTGTAATATCAGACAGGCCATCCAGCTGAAAGAGTCTGTTGCTGTGCAAGTCCAAGGACAACAGCTTTGGGAAAGAAGAGTTAGAGTGACGGTTCCTATCTGGGACCTCGGAGACAAAACTGCTCTCCGTCCCATCTGTTCCACCCCCAGCCATAACACCAGAACTGGACCTAAGGCCTCACCTCCGGGAAATTCATTTTGATGATCTGCAGGGCGGCGGTCATGCAGTTTCTGCGATTCAGGATTATGTCAATGCCGTGGCCCACCAAGTCTTCAGGAAGTCAAGGGCAGGGAATGAGAAGGCTGATAGGGGTCCAGGACCAGAAGCAAACCTTCCCTGGTTACCATCCCTAAGTCTCCCTCCCAAGCAGTGACCTCTGCCCTCACCTGCCCCAGAATTACTGCTGTCAGCCGTACCTGGGTCATAGCGTAGGCTCTGGAGATCAAGAGCTTTCCGGGAGACCTCATATCGTTTGCTCATGGTCAGCTGCAGAGGGAGATGGAGACTGAGCTCTGAGGCTGTGGTGGTGACTGGGAAATCGGGGACTAGAGGAGGAACAGGTGGGTCTGAGGCAAACATGTACCCTTGAGACTGCGTTACCTTTAGCTGCTCCATTTTTTCTGGCGCCAACTTATCCCGCACAGAGTAAGGTACAGCAGAAGTATTGACAAAGATAGGTATCTGCAGGAAGAAGAGGAGGGATAAGCACCGGGAACTCTAGCTGCAAAGAAGCTGACCAGCTCTGCCTGTCCTCCTTCCTCAGGACTGAGTAGAGATAATGCCCTCCACACACACCTTTTTGTTCTCCTCATCGCAAATCTTGTAGCTGACATCCATCAGTGCAGAAGCAGCGCTAGCATCCTGGACAAAGAACCGAGCCCTGTGTTGCACATAATGAAACTACAGGGATCGAAGCAACAACAACAGTGTCAGAGGCCCATGGCCCCAGCTGAGCCAGGTCTCTCCCCCTTCCCTGTGCCCCCTCATCTGGCTTCACCGTCCTCTCTTACGTCCACTGGAGTGAAGGGGACACTGCAATGGCTCTGGAGTGAATTCATTAGCCAGGTCTTGTCATACTTTTTTCCAAAGGGAATCTAAAGGTCAAAAGAAAAGCATAGAGGCAGGAGGAACCACATGGAATAAGGCTGAAGAACAGGCCTCACACAGTATTTTCCCAAACTCCTACTCAGCTTTAAGGGACGTTTAAAGAAGGGATCACTGGCATGATTTCTTACGTTTGTGCCAAATACGGGGTGCTTAAATCCGTTATCTCGCCATGCAAAGCTCTCCGCCCCATAATCAACTTAAAAGGTTAGACGTTTTCCTCCTTTTGTAAAGCTCCAGGAGATCCTATCTAGGATACTGCTCGACCCTCTGACAAGCTTTCCAGACGCTCGACCCCCCCGCCCCCATCTCCCACACTCAGCTTGAGCCACACTGAGACATCCAGGGTGAACTTGCTCCATTTCCTTGGCAGTGGTGGTAGTTCCACCTTTGCCTTTAGACAGCCTCCTCCGTTTTCCATACAGTCAGCCTGTTTCCTTATATTGCTTCTCTGAAAGCACCCTTAGATGAGTAAGAATGTTAACTCCTAGTAATAAAAAGGACAGATTGTAAACTGTCCCCAGCAAACTACTGAGTGTCTCTACGTGAGACCAGCAGGAGTGCACCTGACCTTTCTCTCCCGCACACCCATACATTATTTCAGGACACTCACTGTGATCTTGAACCAACTGGACTGGGTTCCATCTCTTGTGTCCTCCCCCATCTCTCTCGTGAGATGTTTCCTGTTACTCCACAGAGTAACACGGATTTGGCCTTCACTATGCCATTTCACTCTCCTCTTGTCATGTCCCATAGTATAGGGAGTGCTGTGGAGAAGAAGAAGGGTGGCCATAAATGCTAAGAAAGTCTTCTATACTCTCTTGCTTCTCTGACATCAGGACTACAGTTGCCGAACCATGATTTCACTTCTAGCACTCTTCAGTTTTCCAGTGAGAGAAGAACAAAAATAAAACCACAGAGAGTGAAAGGGTTGCATCGTCCCATGGACTGCTACATGCAAACCAGGATGCCCGGTCACTTACTGTCTGACTTGGTACTTCAGGACACCCCTCATCTCCACGTCTCCATCATCCCTCTGGAGGTGTGAAGGCTGAAGCTCATATCCACCGTGCTGATAATGAGGGCTCCTCTTGCCCAAATTACCTCGAAAAGAACCCCAACCTTTCTTTCTTCCTTGAGGTGAGCTACCAGCATCATTGTCCTCTGAAACAAGGGAGGGGGGGGGAATGCAAGTTTGGAGATGCGTCTGTGCCCGCTTGCCAGGTACCATCTCTCAGGCTATCACCATGGCAGGGCAAGCAAAGCGCCACCCTGCCCTAAGGGACCAGTCCCTCAAACCCCAGAAAGGAAACTCCTCTGCCTGTCCGGATAGGAGAGCCTTATCTGACAGATGATGCTAGCCGGGGACAAATCGTGCAGGGTGAAGAAGGAGGAGCGGGATGAAGAGGAGGAAGGGAGAGGGGGAGAGGAGGAGGAAACTGTGTGGAAACTCTTTAAAAATGGAGCAGGATGTATAAAGAACAGAGGTGTATGCATCCGTGGGTTAGACTGGACGCCGGCCACACATCAGGAAGGCATGTGAATCTTGCCTCTCTCAGGGCTCTCTAACTACCTCACCGATACATGGGAAGCAATCTCCCTCATGCTTCCCAGACCCAATCAGCCACCAAACTGGTTCCACTAACACTCAGCAAGCTGTGCTTCCTTTGTTGGTGCAGTACAAGCTTTAATGTCAGGTGAAACGGAGGTAACAGCCTCCTAAACTGTCCCCCTCCCTCCAGCCTTGCTCCAAACAATGCTGTATTTGACATATACAGAGAGAGCTTTCTCTTCGTCCAGTCTGAAGTGCTTTTGAGTCCAGGAGACAATTCTTTCTAACCTCACCCCTTCTATAACATGGAAACTGGAAGGGTGTGTCAACTACTATTTCGCAATTTCTACAGATTCTTCCTTTCTCTTTCTGTTATCGATTTCTAACTTGATCCCTTTATGGTCAGAGGACATGCTTTGTGTAATTTCAATTCTCTTTCAACTTGTGGAGGTTTGCTTAGTGGCCCGGGAGGTGGCCTGTCTTGATGAATGTTACATAGACACGTGAAAAAGATTGTATTCTGCTGCCGTTGGGTGCAGTGTTCTATTTGTCAGGGAGATCCGGGTAGTTTGCTGCGTTATTCGAGTCTCTTCTATCCTTGCTGATTTTCCCTCTAGTAATTCCGTCACTTGCTGAGAGGCGGGTATTGAAGAGCCCAACTCTCATTTTGGGCTTTCCTGTTTCTCCTTTCAGCACCATCAGTTTTTGTTTTGTGTACTTTTTGGCTGTGTTGTTAGTTGCATACACCCTTAGGATCATTATGTCTCCCTGGCTGAGTCATTCTTTTATCACTACATAATGCCTCTCATCTCTTAAAATTTTTTGCTCTGACATCTACCTTATTGGAGATTGTAACCACAGATACGCTCATAAAGTGCCTTGGTAATATTGCACTCTGTATGCTCTCCTGGGAGTTGTGTTGCTGTCCATCCCTTCCCCAACAAACACCGCCAACATATGTCAATTCTCGATGTGGAAGGATTTGGCATTTGCGGGGGCGGGGGTAGGGGGGCGGCGCATGCATCTACAGAAACAAGGTAGTCTCTCTCCCATATGTGGATTCACTAAGGCTGTTTTATCTCTACCACATTTGACTGAGACAGTGCACCAGCAGACAACAACACTAGTGGTTTGAGTGAGCAGATTACGGAAGTTAGACTGTTAGATTACGGAAGTTGGACGGTTAGAAACCAGCTTCCTTTGGGGTCTCATATTCTCTAGGCTTGTGTGTTGTACATTTTGTTCATTAGTTAGCCCGTGTTGCCTCAGGGCCACCACTCATGAGCAAAATTCCGGTCATGGCTGATCATTCAGCGATGTACTGATGACAACCAGGCGTCAGATTAACACCTCTGGGGAGTCATTGCTGTCACTGTATGGCCCACTGTCAGGACAATCCTATAACTCACAGCCTTTGAGACCTTCCATGCGTGTGGCACTGGAAGTGAAACTGAACATGGGTAGAGCATTTTACCCATAAATACCACTTGCTCAGTCCCCACAACTTGGGAGGGCACTGCCGTGCTCTCTTTCTCCAACACGCCACGTCCCAGTGATCAGGACGTTCTCTAGGCCTCTCTCCCAAAGTATACCCAGAATCTAGCCACTTCTCGCTACCTCCATTACTACGCACTCTGGCCAAGATACCAACGTCTATATCCCGGATTATGCTGCCTTCCATCTAGTCCTCTGGTCTCATCCCTGCCCCCTCACCATCAGTTTTCAATCCAGCAGCAGAACGTAGGTCTAATCATTTCACTCTGCTCAACCCTGGGTGACAATGGTTTGGGGCCCATGAACATGTTAAGAAGCCATGAGTTCATAATGCTAGTAAACAGCAATAACCACACCCAAGTGGCACCTTATTTGGCAGTGTTGCTGAAAGCCAGGAAATCAAAGCATTTTCATGAAAATCCAATGAAAGTAAAGGGAATATTAAAGGGAGCAGTAAGGGTAGGGAGTCAACACATGGTTTACAGGAAGAGCTAGAGTAATTTTTGAGAACTGATTTGACTTCAGCAATAACGTTGCTGAGGAGAAAGTATAAATGTGAGTTAGCTAACAGCTGCAGCACTTCCCAGACCAACCAACTAAGAAATTCTAGTGCCTGAACAAGGACAGAGGCCTCCCTCATCAAGGTGCTTCAGACACAGGCGACCTCAAGCATGGCCTTGATTTGGGACTCTCTCAGGAGAGTGGATACGTGATAAAAGTCACAGCGGGATACTCCCACACACACCCACACGCAGACACCCATACACACATACAGTCATCCACTTACTGAATGTTTGCATCTCAGCACAATCCCTGTCTCATAGCCTTGCTGCCAGAATCAAAAGTGATAACAGGGGCATTATAAAGCAGCTAGTACCTTTCGCTTTGGGTGATACAGCCACCTTTCCTTCTCCCCAAATTACTTATACGTAAAAATCACAGATTAAGGCTCACCACCACCTTAATAAGATACAAGGCATATACCACACTGCAAAAGGTTCCCAATTAATCTCCTCTTCATCTCCCAGGTCCACTTAAACCTTGATCTGCTTTCTGTCACTACGTATTTAACTTTTGTCTGCTCAAGAATCTCATGTAAATGGAATCATGCATTTCATATGCTTTTGTGTCTAGCTTCTTTAATTTATTAAAGATTTTATTTATTTGTAGAGGGGGAAGGGAGGGAGGGAGGGAGGGAGGGAGGGAAACATCAGTGTGTGGTTGCCTCTCGCACGCCCCCCACTGGGGACCTGGCCCCGCAACCCAGGCATGTGCCCCAGACTGGGAACCAACGGGCGACCCTTTGGTTCACAAGCCAGCACTCGATCCACTGAGCCACACCAGCCGGGGCTGTGTTTGGCTTTAAATCAGCATAATTTTTCGAGCTCCATCCCTGTTCTTGACTTTTTTGTTGCTGAGTAATATCCCCTTGTATGTATCTGTTTACCTTTGATGTTGCTTTAATGAGGTTTCAGGAGGAAGTGAAAGTAGATCTTTGTGTTCAATCAGCCATCTTTCTTGAACAGTGTTTTTGTTTGTTTGTGTGTGTGTGTGTTTGTTTCTTTGTTTATAACGGGCATAAGTTCTTTCTTTGTCACTCCTTTATCTCTCTAGGGAAATACTATCTTAAGGCCTTTACCAGCCTTTTCTATTTTTCTATCCCCTCAGTGAAAATCATTGGACTTGTTGAGTTTGTTCTGTCCCTCCCATGCTTACCCTGGGCTGAGGCTGTCTCCCACAGAGGAGGCTTCACTGCAGAGTCAGCCCTGGGCTCCTCGGCGCTTTGGTTTAATCCATACCTTGGTCTGGCCTCACCAGTGGATTAGCTCCCACCCTGGCCCTACCACGGGTGGCCCCTGCTTACCACTGTGTCTTCCCATTTCCTTTCTGTTTCATAAAGAGAGAATTTTCTCTCGTTCTTGCACGGGAATTACTCTTTCATGCTTCCCACTACAGCTGTTTTATTATTATTATTATTATTATTATTAAAATACAATATGTATTTATTATTAGAATATTATTCAATATTATGCCAAAACCGCGAGTATAAAAATTACAAATTAGTAACTGTAAAATGTTTGCACTCTCAACATTTAAATTGTTTTGGTAATACTCAACCTTGTTTACACACTAGAGTCACTAGGGGGGACCGAAATAGTCACTAGCATCTGGCAACACCCACAACAATCAAAGCAGAATTGGGGTCAGACCCAGACAACCATGTTTGTTAAACTTTCCACGTGACTTCAGTGTGCAACCAATGTTGAAAACCACTGCGGTAAAATACCAGCTTTTGGTTTATGCATGCCAGAAGATCCTCCGGAATGGCTGCCACCTCATTTTGCTGACTTTCTGCTCAGTGTCTGAGGTGCTAGTGATTCCATTAGCTTAGATCAGGGACTGGTAAACTATGCCCTATGGGCCAAACCTGGCCTGTGGCCTGTTTTTGTGGAGCCTGTAAGTTTAGCATGGTTGTTTTCATATTCGCATTGTTGAAAAATCAAAAGAATAATATTTCTTGACACGTAAAAATTATTTGAAATTCACACATCAGCATCCATACATAAAGTTTTACTGCAGCACAGCCGTGCTGTTTCTATGGCGGCTTTCACCTCACAATGGCAGAGTTGAATGGTTACAGCATAGACCAAATGACCCACACAGCCTCAAATATGTATGCTCTGGCCCTTTCCGGAAGAAGCTTGTTCAGCTCTGGCTTAGAGCAAGTGTCCTTAAAGCAAGCGCACAGTATCTCTGGTAAACGGCTGGAGGTCCCTTTGGCGAAGCCCAGGGAGACTTATGACAGCTAACTCTTTCACCGTAGGGTCTTTCCTCAGTAGTTTTTCATGGTGTTCCGGGCCAGGTGTGGGAGCTGAGTAAGGGCCCCTCATTAGACATCAAGTTGGCTAAAGTCACCAGATCCAGAATTTTATTTATTTATATTAAGCTCTTCTATTTTTAATACAAATAAGTATTTATATTTCCTTTATTTGTCACTAGTCAAATGCAACTTTCGAGGAAGTTCAGGTTTTTC